AATCAAAGGTAGTTCAGCTCATTCCTACTGGCAATCTTGCTGCCATAGATAAAGGACTGTGTTAGCGAAGCAAAAATATGGCTCTGTTTATATTCAACACTATTTTGTTAGCAAGTAGTTTGCTGTTACAGTAGTTTGCCCCAAAAAAACATTAATTTGCTCACAAAAGATTTATATGTGTTGGATCGGTGTGTCAGTGAGTACATCAAGTTCATATTACACATATTTGCACATCCTATAAAACATGTCTGCCTTGCTTCATTATAAAGCTAGTTAGTGTGGTTGCCAAGTGTTTATGGATCCAAAAACTCTCTAGTGGATGAAGTCCAGATTTATATAGTCCAATGATAGAAATGGAAGATTGGTTTAAATAAAAGACTATGGTGGCCTTGCATTGCTTCCAGGTACTGTATTTAATGAGTGTACTTTTTTTTATAAAGTCGGTATATCTGAAACCTTCTTGACAAAAATATATAATAATCTACAGACAATTCTCTGGTTTATGCTTAGGCTTTTCACTGATTACTTAAGTCTGATTCCCAGTGTAATTATAAAGAAAATTGCCCACTGTTGCTCTGTTCAAGGTTATATCTGGCAGCTGTTTCTCTGAATTAAATCACATCATTTTTAGTTTCTACATTTTTTTTTTATTTTTACATTTTGTATGCATCATGGAGATGGTAAAAACCAGAATGGTACATTTCCAGATGTGTTTTTTTTTTTTTCACATAAAGCAGAAGACATGTACAGTGATGAGTTGACATTCTTGATGTTTTATCATGTTAATGCTTAGATACATATTTTATTATTAAAAGGTATTCTAAAACAAGGTCAAGTTTCAATTGCATATAAAGTACAAAGCTTAGCTTTGAAAGCTTTTACGACATTTTAGTCAAATATATACGTGCTTATTGGCCTAAAATCACAAAAGAAAAAAAGAAAGTGCAGAGACTCGGTTCCAAATTCTGATCTACCTCTTTTAAAAGCTGCCAGAATCAAAACAAGTCATTGACTCTTTCCACTGTATTTAATTGAGCACAAACTGTTGCCAGACAATTGTATATTAAGTTGTGATAAATGAATATAATATAAATTATGCTAGCATACATTTTAAGAGTGTGAAGTGAAGCTTGGCTATACATTAATATACAGGTGCATAGAAGCAGTCAGGCAATGCTAAAATTAAAGCACTGCATGAGAAAGTTCTGTTCTGAATGTATGGAATGCAAAACTATAAAATCCCTGAAAATAGCTGAATACCGGTCCAAGCTATATGTGTGTGTTAGTGTGTATGTGTGTGACACTTTTCTGCACATACAGAAATTACCTCTTGATCCTGCCAGAAATGCAGTGTCCGTATCCCTTCCTGTGACATGAACTTTTCTCATCATCAGTTAGAGCAGTCTTGTGACTGCTAGCAGTGTCTAGCAGAACATTGGTTAAAGCTTGTAGGAGGAATTTTCATTCTTTTCTAGGAGGATGAAGAACCCCTGAGCTCTGTCTGGACAATGCTGGTTGCCCTGTGCTGATCACATGCACTTTCCCTGTAATGAAGTAAGACCCATGAAGTGCAGGCTGCTGGATTCTGTAGAAATCTTCAAAGTTGGACTGTCCTTTGTTCTTCCTGCTGCTGAACTTCCACTGCTGTGGAGTTAACAACTTGGGGTTTCCAGGCTCAGATGCACAGTATGCATGTGTATGTTTCTGTATGTGCTGAAAAGTGTCTTACTTTGAAAAAACAAACACCACATGAAATTACTGTTGCTTGGAACATCACTTCAATGTTAAGGAGAGCCTGATACAGAATGTCCATTTATGGTTGGTCCATTTGGAATCTGATGATTATGCATCTGGGCCCACAGTGCTGATGACTGGGAGGAAAACCAGAAGCGCATCTTTCTGCATATATTATAATAATGCGCTGTTGACCACCTTAACCGGGGTAAAATAAGTTTGGTGAGTGAAAAATTCACTTATTTCAACTGCACGGGGTGAAGGCACACAGATTATTGGTCTACAGCATTGTATTTTGAAAGGACGGTCACTTTAATATTATGATTTATTTCATATTCACTTTAACACATTTTTCACTTATTTCAACTGCACGGGGTGAAGGCACACAGATTATTGGTCTACAGCATTGTATTTTGAAAGGACGGTCACTTTAATATTATGATTTATTTCATATTCACTTTAACACATTTTTTTTAGTTAATATTGAGAGTATGCATTAATACACTCAATTATAAAATGTAGAGGGATGTCTTGTTTTGATCATTTATTTTATAGTTGCACATTGCTCACCTATTCATGATTGTAAACAACAGAATCATGCCCCTCTATGTAATGGACAACAGGAGAGAGGCAGGATTTCATTTTTTGTTTCTGTTGTCCAAATGCTCATCACTCTATCCAAAACTTAAAAAAAAAATTGGGGTTCTAGACCTGAGAACTCCCAGGTCAGTGGATTAGAAATGTGATGAGCCAATAGCAATAGCAGCCACATATTTCTTTTATGATAAGTTTCCTTTAAAACGTATTTGATTAAATAGAAATTTAGAAATATTAATAGATTTTTAATAGGAATGTGTAGAGTAAGTGTGTTACTTTTTAGCCAGTGAAAGAACATGAATATGTAGTCTCATGAAAATTAATTTATTTAGCTAAACAATTAACATCCTGCCTTGTAATTGTAACTTCATAACATAGATGCAGCTAAAGAAACCATGAAAGCAATTAGAGACCAATAAATATATGTGTATTTCTAGTAACCTCAAGATAAGTAAAACACATTGGGAAACGTATTGCTTTATAAGACTGGATACGTATTTACTATTATTAGCAACATACTTCAACGTGCTTTTCAATAAATAACTCTGGGAAGCAGTACTTATATCATAACCATCTTTTTCAATCCAATCTTTGGACAAATACATACTAACTACTGCAATCTGTTCTTACCCATTCATACATTTAAAATAATGCTTAAAAACCTCTTTTTGCTTACCTGAATCTGCTGTCATGTATCTCTTCCCACGGCCTCTTCCAAAGTTGAGTCTGGTGATTCAGTGCTGCAGTCTGTGTCTGCCTCTGACTGATGTGTGATATCGTCACACATTGCTGCAGTCTACAGGAGCCTTTGAGGACCTTCCACTAGGCAACTAACAGAAAATACCCATGTCACCTGGACAGTAAATTGGGCACCCAAAGAAGGTCCCTCGCCTTTTGAAGTGGGTAAAAGAGAAGTCTTGTTGCCCATGCATCACATGGCCATGGATTTAGGTAGGTAAAAAAGATTATCTATCTTATTTTTTCTTAATACTGCTGCAGTCATGTTAGAGGAGATGGCAATTTTTTGTATGTGGAGGGAAACTTACTGTATTTTGAGGTCCATATGCCTCTAATAATCTTTGAGATTCAAAAAATTTAAACACATGGCATGTCACTGTAGACCCCTTCATACAACGTCACACAAAACCAGGTAACCTGATGTCCTTTTATTTTCCTACAAATATGAATCTCTACTTCTGTGACTAGATGGTGAAACTATATGATCTCTGAATTCATTGAAATAACTGATTTCATTGTTAGTGGGATTTTGCCAAACAGGAACCCTACTTTTGTGAAATTTGCTTGGCAAAAATAAAGGATCTACTCTTTTTTGATTTGGGGGAGGGGGATTGGTATGTAAGGTAGATTTTCTTTTAGTGTTCTTTTTATTTCACTGGCTGTTTATAAATATAAAAATTAAGGCTATTTAATATTTAAGGGATTAGAATACTTTAAATGGGGCCAGCATACTTTTAGATCAGCTTCGGTAACTCAACCCCCTTTCCAGGAGCTTTTTAAAGTCCATTGTGCCTTTAAAAATTATCTTAATTTTACTTTCACAATTTACCTTATTTTGCTAAAAGGTGAAAATTTTCACTAATCTTCTGATTTTTATTTAGATCTGGAAAACAGAGAAACTCTATCTTGCTCATCTCAATTTGAATGTTGAGGACTGAGGCCTGAAATCAGCAAGTCCTTAAACCAAATATACACTATTTCATGAGTCTATTTCTATATTTAAACCTTTTGGGGTCAAGGAGTCTGTCAGATATATCCACTTCATCTCCCCAAAAGGTTTAAATATAGAAAGAGACATTAGCTGCTTTATAAGTGATTGAGATTTGTCATCTTTTGTATTATTTATTTTTAATTCTATATATTTTTTGTTTATTTAGATGATCCTTTTTTCCCTTATGGCTAAATAAATTGTAATTATGATGTCAATATATTAAACTACTTTGTATATTTTAAAAATGCATTAATTTTTATGATGTGGATTTATCATTTTGTAATAGCCAATTTAGTGGTGTTGTTCACCCACTAGATGGCAGCAGTGTGTTCAAATGTTTAGTTAAATGGTTAATTGAGCAGTGCTTTATAAGGCCGCTAGTTCTCACATAGGGCCACACCCTCAGTGGAAGTTGTAATGACGAAACGCGTCAGTTGTGACCATCTGTGATGTCAGCACGTTCACTGGCAGTACGGGACCTCCCATATGCGGAAGTGAAACAGCAGTGCTGTATGTGGTGAGACGCCAGAGACACTGCATAAGCGGTGACAATTGTTGCATTTTCATTTAAAGCACATTGTATTTTATTAAAGCGGAGTTCCACTCACCCTATCAACAAATAAAAGTCAGCAGCTACAAAAACTGTAGCTGCTGACTTTTAAGAAACAGCCACTTACCTGTCCCTCGGTCCCATGGTGTGAACCCCACAGCCCGTTTCACCGGCCATCCTGTATTCCAGGAGGCCGGCATCTTCAGTGTGGGCACCTGACTGTGATAGCTTGAGGCTTCACAGCCGGGTACCCACTGCGCATGTGCAAGTAGCGCTGCACTTCATGAATGGTCCTGTATTTTTCTGGGACCTGTCACGTGTCCCAAAAGACTACAGGGAGAGAGGGAGGACACCTTCCGTTTCTGATCGCCTAGGCGATCGGACCGGAAGTGGGAGCGGATGCCTGTCAAATTGGGTACCCGCTCCCACCCGCCCCCAAAAGGTGCCAATACTTAATGGGGAGCGGGGGAACAGTCCTTAACCGTTTCAATACCGTGCAATTTTACACCTTCCTGCCCAGGCCATTTTTCAGGTTTCAGCGCTCTCACACTTTGAATGACAATTGCGCGGTCATACAACACTGTACCCAAACTAAAATGTTATCATTTTCTTCACACAACTAGAGCTTTCTTTTGGTGGTATTTAATCACCGCTGGGGTTTTTATTTTTTGCTAAATTAACAAAAAAAGACCAAACATTTTGAAAAAAAAAACACATTTTTCTTTGTTTCTGTTATAAAAGTTTACAAATAAATAATTGTTCTTCATAAATTTAGGTCGAGATGTATTCTGCTACATGTCTTTGGTGAAAATAACCCAAATTAGGATGTATTTTTTAGTTTGTAGGAAAGTTATAGAGTTCACAAACTATGGTATAGATCTGAATATTGATCAATCCTGAAGTACTGACAGCCAATCTAATTTCTTGAGGTCCAAGAATGTCAGAATAGTACAGATATCCCCAAATGACCCCTTTTTGCAGAGTAGACAGTCCGACGTACTTCATAAGAGGCATGGCGAGTTTTTTGAAGTTTGTATTTTTTGTCATAATTTTTCGGAAAATGAAAAAATTAAAAAAATCATTTTCACTATTTTTTTTTTTACATACTGTCACCAGTGCAGTACAGCGTCATCATATAACTGGCATGGCGGTGAACAGGGACACTGACTGGTGACAGTATGAAAAAAAAATTTTTTTTTTTTTAATTTTTTTTTATTTTTTTATTATATTTAATTTTTTATTACATTTTTTTTTTTTAGATTTTTTTTCATATTTTTACTATGACCAAAGTAGTACAATGTTACCATAGTAACATTGTACTACTTTGGGGAAGTGATCAGTATTTTTTTTTTTTTTTTTTTACACAATTTGCTTATAGCAAAGAATTACTTTGCTATAAGCAAGCATTTACCTGAATGAAATCGATTCATTCAGCTTTTTTTTTTTTTTTTTTTTTTTTGTGCTTAGCTGTGATTTGGTCACAGCTAATCACATGACATGTGCATGTGATTAGCTGTGACCATTCACAGCTAGGCACTAGTATACAATGGATGGCATCATGAATGAAGCCATCCATTGTATACAACTGTCATGTGACCTGCTGTGATTGGTCACAGCAGGTCACATGGTACCAGCAACGGGAGCCGGTACTCGGATCTGTCATCGGCCGTGTCCGAGGTGCACGGCCGGTGACAGATCGCACTGATGCGCCGCTCTGCATTAGCGCAAACTGCGCATGTGCGGGAGCACGCCAAATGGCGTGCACCCCAGAGTGCAGAGACACTTCTGAAGCCGCCAAACGGCCATTGGCCGGGCGGCTAATGGTTAAAGTGGAACTTCCCCTTTTGGGTGGTGCTCCACTTTAAATGTGAGTGAATTTTAAAAAGGGGGGACAATGGTAATAAAGCTCCTAAACAGAGTTATACTATGCGGTTTGGTTTTACTTTCCACTTATGTACTGGATCTGAGATATGTGTCTGAGTGATGGCTGCTGATGAGCCCAGGAGGAGGATATCTTACACTGCTCATTATTCACCTTAATCTGATTTGTGATACTTACCTGATTGGTTGCTTTTGGAGAGCCTATGAGGAGGATAATATACATTGCTGGTTATTCACCACAATCTGGTGAGTGTTCACTTTGATGGGGTGTCAATCACTGTAAAAGCACAGAGGTGTTGGAGTGAATTTTTGGGTGAAATACAGCAATTGCCCTTGGAGAAATAGATAAGGTGGACTGAAATTTGTGTAACCACACTTTATCACATTTTGGTGGAAGAACTGTTCTATTTCTATTCCTTTATTACTTTATGTTCCTCATAATATATCTGTTTTATATAGATGAGTGCTGTTTTATGAGGAGGATATATATATTGTACTCATACTCCAATTTATTTATAGTTACTTTAATGGCTGCTTATCAGTTTTAATTTAATTTTTAATTTATCACAATTCACCAAGTTATAAGCTCTTGTGAGTCTATAATTTTTATTGTAAATCAGATCTCTAAAAATATATGCAGTCTACTTTAATTATTTAAAGTTAAATCTGCCCTGCATGCCACTACCATCATAAGTGTCCAAAAAAAGACACCAACCTTTTATTTTTCATGATGTTATATGTCTATTCAATCACTCAGAAATTGCTGCTTGTCTAAACAGGCTTGATAGCTGTGGTACAAGCCTGTATGCTATTTCCATCACCAGTGTTTAAAAATGACACATTTGTTTCATTGTTATTAAAAAAAAGACACAAATTTTTATGGATGCTGAATGCCTGCTCAATCTCTCAGAAATTGTGGCCTGTTCATACAGGCTTCGTAACTGTGATGAAAACCTGCAACAGTTTATCAATTTTTGGTCTTCTGATGACAATTCCACAGGTATTGTGAGTGGCCACCTGTGATCCCTCAGCACCCCTGATGAATGGCTGACATTTATCAACATTCCTTTTATTAGGCATTTCATAGCTGAGCAGAAATAAACTAAGAAACAAAACGATCAGTTCCCCTCTTAGCTCTGTACAAAGTTTGATGTGACTCATGATACAACAGAAGGACTGGTGAAAGAATGTCAGACACTGGACACAACACGAGCAGCTCCTATACTGCATGAATTGTATGTAAGAGTGTTTAAGGAAACTACACTGAGAGAACTATAAGTACCTCCAGTACTGGCCTATTTTTCTGAAAATGTTTGTTTCTGGTTGTTACTGTGATTTAGTTGCTTCATTAGTTTTTGAATAACTGATCAGTTACAAGTGTGCAGGTCAGGTCTTGTTACTCTGCATACTTAGTTTTGGTCTCAAAACTTAAAACTGAGTGAACTCAAAATTATGATGCCAAAGACAGACATACAACTAATATTTTCACAATCTCAGCCACATTCTTTTAAAAGGTTTTTGTTACCTGGTTACCTCTAGCAATTTAAGAAAGTCATCAATTTTGTGTGCTGCTTAGATTTGATTTTTTTTGTAACTCTTTACAAATATTTCAATGTAATTCAGATGTATCTTGCTGTTGTGGAGAACTAACTTCTATAACTTCGTATGTTTTGAAGGTTGTCCATGATCAAATGAGTAAATATATTTCTTTCCACATTTTTACTTTTCCATTTAGCAATTTACATAAATGAAACTGATTATACTGAGAGTTTTTAGTTTTTGATTCTAGTCATTTACATTGAGATATTTATTTTAAGCAGAACTTTGATTTTAGAAAACAAAATATAATTTTCAAGGTATGTCAAAAATAAAAATAAAGATTTTTTTCTGTAATACTCACCTTGTCTTTGGTGGTGCCCACTCCAGGCTTGCTAGTTTGTCTATCAGCAATGCCTTTCCTCTCTGGGTTAAATGATGTCTTGTGTCATTCAGCTCACTTCATGTGAGATCAGGCTGTCAATGACAAACTCTCCTGGAGTGCATCATGCTGGCCTACAGTAATGTTCACAGGAGAATGATCATCATGATGCAGAAAATGTCACTGATTTAACTACATCAATACATGCCATTATCCGCACCATTAAGTACTGCCCACTGCCTGCAAAGGACAGATGAGGAAGATAATTTTTCCCAGCATTTAATTTGCTAGACTGCTAAAAAAAAGTTATATAAAATGGGGGAATCCCAGACTTGTGCTTTAAAGTTATAACATTATCCTTTAAGTAAAGGTCCAACAGTTTGCTTGCACCAAATTTTAGTTCACTTTCTTAACTATAACCTGAAATGTATGTCCTATATTTTAGATTTTAAAAGGATTTCAGTGGTTGTCTATGTAACCACGTTGGTGGTAAAAATTAAAACAATTTTCCAGGCTACTATTTGCATTGCAAATGCCAAAATCAGATAATAGATATTTTCTCATTTACCACAAATATCATATCTGTCAGCCGCATTTCCAAATCATATCTTAAATGGGAAATTTTTGAGAGGTGCTGAAAGGAAGTAGATGTTAACACTTGTTTTCATGGGAGTACAAACCTGATATATGTTTCACCAGGGATCTAAATGGGAGCATTTCAATATGCTTTTTAAAGCATGGCTTTTGCAGAACTTCGAGAAAAATGTGAATTTCATATTGCTTTTCATATCATCCACATTTTTGGTCATAACATTATATAAAATGCAAATATGCCTTACATATGTTGTATATTTTTATTGTTCTAATATAGGACAACTCCAGTCACTCAGAAATAAGATCTGTTTCAAATAACCAAATCCAACTTGTACCTACTTTCCCTGTGATGGGAAAAAACACTTTTTGCAACCCAGATCAGATGTCTTTTTTTTTCTAGGAGTATGGTTTTTTTTTATATCCAGTTAAAGTCCATTTATATATTTGATGTTTTAATTGTTGCTTTTACTCAACTGTCAACAGATGAATAAGTACATGGTAAATTTACATGATACATAGCTCTTTCTGGGCAGAGGTAATTTAAAATTCAGCAAGTTGCTGTCAATATTTGAACCCCAATAATTCTTCCTTGAAGAGGTTGCATTTTGAATTTAAATGTTAAAACTAAATTGTATTTGTTTTAGAGCAGGTAGGGTAAGAAGCACATATCTACCTTCCATGCACTCCGTTGTAACCCCCATTCACCTCCTGGATCAGCCTGCAAGCTACTGAGTTAATTTACCAAAGGGACGGTGCATTATCACTGGGTTTAAAAAAAGTGTGCTCAAGACAGAAGCTAATTTTAAATGTGGAAAGCTATTCATTTGCACCTGAGCAGCAACAGTAGACACAAAGGGGTTTATTTACTAAAGCTGGAGAGTGCAAAATCAGACTCACTTCTGCATAGAAACCAATCAGCTTCCAGGTTTCATTGCCAAAGCTTCATTGAACAAGTTGAGGTTAGAAGCTGATTGGTTTCTATGCAGAAGGGAGTCTGATTTTGGACTCTCCAGCTTTAGTAAATAAACCCCAAAATGTATTTATTTATTACAGTTACTCCACACCTTTTAAACATTAATTAGAATAGGCTGCAATTTCTTAGTGAAAGAGTAACAGAACAGAATATCGTCCTTTTTAATAAGAGGCACATTTAGAGGTAAAAGTCAGCTTGATCCAAAATGTGAATAACAAATGTATTTTCTAGAACAACACTGTTAGATCACATGGATCTCACTAAAAAAAAAATCTCATCCATTTTAATGGGAGGTAAGGAAACAGTCAGTGGTCCTATTTCAGCATAAAAAGAAGAAATTTGACATATTTTTCACTCCATAAGATGCACCTGACCATAAGATGCACCTAGGTTTTAGAGGGGGAAAACAAGAAAAAAAAAATATTCTGAACCAATAGACTGCAGGCATAATACAGGACATGACCAGAGACTGCGGACATAGTACAGGAGATGACCAGAGACTGCAGACATAGTACAGGAGATGACCAAAGACTGCGCACATAGTACAGGAGATGACCAGAGACTGCGGACATAGTACAGGAGATGACCGGAGACTGAGGACATAGTACAGGAGATGACCAGAGACTGCGGACACAGTACAGGAGATGACCAGAGACTGCAGAGATAGTACAGGATATGACCAGAGATAGTACAGGATATGACCAGAGACTGCAGACATAGTACAGGAGATGACCAGAGACTGCAGACATAGTACAGGAGATGACCAGAGACTGCGGACATAGTACAGGAGATGACCACAGACTGCAGACATAGTACAAGATATGACCAGCAACTGCAGACATAGTACAGGAGATGACCAGAGACTGCAGACCTTTGTGGTGCGGGTATCCGAATTTGACAGGTACCCGCTCCCACTTCCGCTGCGATCACCTAGGCGATTGCAAGTGGAAGTTGTCCCCCCCATAGTTTTCTGGGACACATGACAGGTCCCAAAAGACTACAGGGCCATTCACAAGGCGCATCGCTTCTCGTGCATGTGCAGTGGGCACCCGGCTGGGAAGCCGCAAGCTGTCACAGCCGGGTGCCCACACTAAAGATGCCAGCACCAGGGAGAGAGGATGGCGAGTGAAACCAACGGTGGTGAGGACACCGTTGGACCAAGGTACAGGTAAGTGGCTGTATTTTAAAAGTCAGCAGCTACAGTTTTTGTATCTGCTTTTTTTTTCAGCTGGAACTCCGCTTTAAGGGGCAGCTGCTGTGGGCCCTGCCTGGCACTGCTGCCCTGCTGATGCAGACTCCTCCTCTCGTCTGCCACAGAAGAGCCGAGCGGCTGGCCCGGTATTCTAACAGGGCGGCAGGGAGGAAGTCCTGGTCAATATTCACTCCATAAGACACAGATATTTCCCCCCACAAAATGGGGGGAAAAAAGTGCGTCTTATGGAGCAAAAAATACGGTAAGTGTAATTTTTGTAATACAACACCCAGATTTGCATAACAAAATCTTATTTGAGAGGCAGGGAGCTGGCTTATTTCAGCTGTAAATACTAAATTAACTGTATTCTTCACAAACTTATTTTTATAAATTCATTTGTTTGCTGAACTGAGTCACATTCTTTAAGATGTAATGGAGTTTTAGAGGTAGAGAATAGGCATGTTTCACTAGAACATTTAAGTTAATGAAATCATGGCTGTGAACCTTCCACAGCACAGTGCGCAAATTCATGAAGGAGGGCTGAATTCTCCAATTGGAAAATTAGGAGCTGTAAAGTCAAATATTTTGTAACTGGCATTGAGCTGCTGGGCATTGAGGTGGCTGGTGGTATACTTCTTCTGTTCCAGCACTTGTGGCAGAGAAGCTTGCCTGCTGAATGCTACAGCTGGAGATGAATGAAAATCAATTTCAAAGTGGGCAAAATCAAGAAAAGTTACAGCTCATTATTATTATTATACAGGATTTATAAAGCTCCAACAGTTTGAGCAGCGCTTTACAAAACAAAGACATTACAGTTACAATACAATTTGGTACAAGAGGAAACAGAGGGCCCTGCTTGTTAGAGCTTACAATCTAGGAGGAAGGGTTGAGTGATACAAAAGGTAATAGCTGTGGGGGATGAGCTGATGGAGGAATGAATGGCAGTTTACTAGTTAGAAGCAGGATAGGCTTCTTTAAAGAAGAAGGTTTTCAGGAATCGTCTAAAGGGGGATAGATTAGGAGATAGCAGGACAGATTGGGGTAGGAAGCTCCATAGGATGACAGAAGCTCGGGAGAAGTCCTGGAGGTGAGCATGGGAGGAGGTGACACGGGAATTAGAGAGCAGAATGTCTTGAGAGGATCGAAGAGAGCGGTTTGGTTGATATTTAGAGACCCGGTTGGTGATGTAGTTGGGGCAGAGTTGTGGATAGCTTTGTAAGTTGTTGTTAGTATTTTGAATTTTATTTGTTGGGTGAGTGGAAGCCAGTGGTGGAGGGATTGGCAGAGAGGGGTAGCAGACTCTTAACAGTTGGTAAGGTAGATGAGCCTGGCAGCAGTATTCATGATGTACTGGAGGGGGAATAGCCTATGCAATGGTAAGCCAATGAGGCGGGAGTTGCAGTAGTCGAGGCGAGAGATAACCAAGGAGTGAATTAGGAGCTTTGTGGTATCATTGGTTAAAAAGGGGCGTATTATGGAGATGTTGCGGAGGTTGAGTCGGCATGATTTGGACAGGGATTGGATGTGGGCCTGAAAGGATAGTTCAGAATCCAGGGTTACCCCTAGCACCCTGGCATGCAGGGATGGGTCAATAGTAGTGCTATTGATCCTGAACGAGAAATAAGGGCAAGAGGCATGTGGGGGAGGAAATATTATGAGGTCAGTTTTGGATAGATTGAGTTTTAGGAAGTGGTGTGACATCCAATCTGATATGTCTGTTAGTAAATCAGTGATACGTGAGGAAACTGATGGGGTGAGCTGAGGAGTAAGGAGATAGATTTGTGTGTCATCAGCATAGAAATGGTATTGGAAACCATGGGAAGCTATCAGCTGACCCAAGGAAGAAATGTAGATCGGGAATAGGAGAGGTTCAAGGACAAAACCTTGGGGGACCCCGACAGTAAGAGGAGTAAGAGAGGAGGAAGTAGAGTTGTAAGTGACACTGAAGGTGAGGTGAGATAGGTAAGATTCAAACTAATGGAGAGTACAGTCACGGAGACCAAGTAAATTTTTTTTTAGGAGGGGGTGATTAACTGTGTCAAAGTCAGTGGAGAAGTCCAAGAGTAAGAGTACGGAAGAGTGACCATTGGTTTTAGCGGTTAGTAAGTTGTTTGTGAGTTTTAGAAGAGCAGTTTCTGTGGAGTGTTGTGGGCAAAATCCAAATTGAAGGGGATCGAGAAGGTTATTCTCAATAAGGTGGCAGGTCAGCCGGTTGTAGACTAGATGTTCACGGAGTTTGGAGGCAAAAGGGAGTAAGGAGATGGGCCTTAGGTTGCTAAGATTGGTGCGGTCCAGTGAGGCCTTTTAAGTATGGGGGTGACTAGCGCATGTTTTAGAGAGTTGGGGAAGATGCCAATAGAAAGGGAGGGATTGAAGATATGAGTTAAAGAATGAAGGATAGAATCAGACCGTAGTATTTGCGAGGGAACAGGGTCCAGGGGAGAGGTGGTTAGGTGGGCTTTAGAAAAATGTTTACCAACCTCCTCCATAGTAGCTCGGTTAAACAAGGGAAGTATAGATTGTGCAGGTGGACAAGGAGTGTAGGGTGATGGAGATATCTGTACACTGGAGATCTCGTCACAAATTGTATCAATCTTATTTTTTAAGTGAGAAAATTAATGGGTGGAGGTAACGAAGTAGAGAGTTAAAGGTAGAAAATAGTTGATGGAGATTGCGTGAGAGGGTGTTAATGAAAGTGATAAAATATAGTGCATCCAGAAAGTATTCACAGCGTTTAACTTTTGCCACATTTTGTTATGTTACAGCCTTATTCCAAAATGGATTAAATTCATTTTTTTTTCTCAACAAAGAATACCCCATAATGACAACATAAAAGATGTTCATTTTGAAATTTTTGCAATTTATTAGAAATAAAAAACAAGAAAAACCACATGTACATAAGTATTCACAGCCTTTGCCATGACTCTCAAAAATGAGCTCTGGTGCATCCTGTTTCCACTGATCATCCTTGAAATGTTTCCACAACTTGATTGGAGTCCAACTGTGGGAAATTCAGTTGATTGTACATGATTAGGAAAGTCATAAACCTGTCTTTATAGGGTCCCACAGTTAATAGTGCATGTCAGAGCACAAGCCAAGCCTTGAAGTCCAAGGAATTGTCCGTAGACCTCAGAGACAGGATTGTCTCAAGGCACAGATCTAGGGAAGAGTACAGAAAAATTTCCCAATGAGCACAGTGGTCTCCATCATCTGTAAATGGAAGCAGTTTGGAATCACCAGGAATCTTCCTAGAACAGGCTGCCCGGCCAAAATGAGCGATTGAGGGAGAAGGGGAGGTAACCAAGCACCTGATGGTCACTCTGAAAGAGCTCCAGCATTTCTCTGTGGAGAGAAGAGAAGCTTCCAGAAGAACAGCCATCTCTGCAGCACTCCACCAATCAGGCCTGTATGGTAGAGCGGCCAGACGGAAGCCACTCCTCAGTAAAAGGCAAATGGCAGCCCGCCTGGAGTTTGCCAAAAGGCACCGGAGGGACTCTCAGACCATGAGAAACAAAACTCTCTGGTCTGATGAAACAAAGATTGAACTCTTTGGCCTGAATACCAGGTGTTATGTCTGGAGGAAACCAGGCACTGCTCACCACCTGGCCAATACCATCCCTACAGTAAAGTATGGTGATGGCAGCATCATGCTGTGGGGATGTTTTTCCGTGGCAGGTACTGGGAGACTAGTCAGGATCATAGGAAAGATGAATGCAGCAATGTACAGAGACATCCTTGATGAAAACCTGTTCCACAGCGCTCTGGACCTTAGACTGGGGTGACGGTTCAACTTTCAACAGGACAATGACCCTAAGCACACAGCCCACATAACAAAGTAGTGGCTACGGGCAACTCTGTGAATGTCCTGGAGTGGCCCAGACTTGAACCCGATTGAACATCTCTGGAGAGATCTGAAAATGGCTGTGCACCGACGCTCCCCATCCAACCTGATGGAGTTTTAGAGGTACTGCAAACAAAAATGGGAGAAATTGCCCAAAAATAGGTGTGCCAAGCTTGTAGCTTCATACTTAAAATGACTTGAGGCTGTAATCGGTGCTAAAGGTGCTTCAATAAAGTATTGAGCAAAGGCTTATGTGCCTGTGTTTTTTTTGTTTTTTTTTTAAATAAATTGCAAAGATTTCAAAACAAACTTCTTTCACATTGTTATTATGGGGTATTGTTTGCAGAATGTTGAGGGAAAAATTTATTTAATCCATTTTGGAATAAGGCTGTAACATAAAATGTGGCAAAAGTTAAGCACTGTGAATACTTTCTGGATGCACTGTACTAGCAGTGTGGAGACAAGAATTGTATTTTTCAAGGGCAGAATTATATTGGTCGAAGTCTTGCTGGGTCTTAGTCTTACAGCATAGACGCTCAAGAGCACGGCTACATTTTTTGAGGCATCTGGCATTGTCTGTTTGCCATGGCTGTAGAGGTTGGGGCCTAATTCTGTATGTAGTGAGGGGGGTCAATGTGTCTATGGTGGATGACAGTGAACTGTTGTATACAGAAGTGGCCAACTTGAGGCAGGACTGGGCTGACATGCTTACTCCTAGTCTGCATGACAAAATACCCTGCAGGAGTAGAGGTGGAGAGGAAGGAGCTGGAAGATGAGGAAGAGTATCTCCCTTTTTCCTCTTATGTCTAGCATTCACGTGCTTCTTCCAATGAGCTGCATAATGAAAAAGAGAGGCACCTCTAAGTGTAGACAGTCACAGAAATTTTAATGTAAGCAAACAATTGGCTGCTCACATAAAAGTAAATATACCAGGCACATCAAAAACTGTCATTGGTATGAGGTCATTAAAAACGCTATGTCTTTGCAAGCTCCTACTCTGCTCAATTCCAGGAAGCTGGCCGGAAGATGAAGAGGAGAAAGCCAGTCATTACATTCACTGTGCGCATGCTCAGAAACATGTCACCTTACATCCACTGATTTCATCATGTACAACACTGT